TGGGGTACAATTTTCATACAAAAATTAGAAGATTTGGAGTTATGGTGAAGAAGTTATAGCCATTTGAAGTTAAGATCTTAATTTAAAATACACTGTTATACTTTTGAGGATATGAGGAGTTTTATAGCAGCTTTTTGAAGATCGGAAGGTGCGATTAGAATGGCGATTTCAAGGCTTACATCTTTCATGAAAGAATTATTGGTTTTGGAACTCATATAGAGGAGTTATAAGGAATTGAAGACGGCACTTCCAAATCAAAGGCAGTAAGTAAGCGGTTTTATTTGTAGTAATGGTTGGAGCCATAACTTGAGTATTTGGATAAATTTTTAGTTCAAACTTTTTGGAGAATGTAAATTTTTGTATTAAAAAGCTATATATATAAATTTTGTGGCATTTGAGCTTATATTTTGTGAGATATGAAGAAAATTTCACGCAAGTATATAAAGACAAGGGTTTGAAGCGATTGTTAGGGTTTTTAAGATATCTCAAGATCCGCAATGAATTTGTGGTTGAAAATTATTGTGAACGTTAATAAGAATATATCAGTACCTCATGTAAATTTTGAGTTTGTTTGGACGGTCGGATTAGGAGATATGAGGTGTTGAAGTTCGGAAAAATCTCCATACAAGAATATACAAGATTTTAGAGGATTTTATCATATTTTGGGTGTTGTTGGTTACTTGAGGCTTGTGTATTTGGTGTAATTGCTCAAAAAGAGAAAATTTATATATAAAATTAGGGCTTTCCTTATTTTCAAGCTTGATTGAATAATTAGTGACAGCTAGAAGCCCGGCATTTTTTTGAGGTAAACTCTCTCTACTCCAACACCGCTCACTTAGTTGACATGTAAAGACAAGCTTGAATGGGGACCTCTAGCGGAAAAATCATTTCAAGATCTTAAGACGGCATTTACCATGGCTCCAATCTTGGTACATCCAAATTTTGCAAAGGCCTTCTATTTAGAGATTGATGCTTCAAATTTTGCTATAGGAGCTGTACTTTTGCAGATAGGCGCAAACGAGAAGCTTCATCCGATTGCGTTCTACTTTCAAAAGTTTTCTGCTGTCCAAATCAATTATGAGATCCACAATAAAGAACTTCTTGCAATAGTAGATTCTTTCCAAGAATGGCATCACTTTCTTGAAGGAGTTACACATCCGGTGATCATATACACTGATCACAAGAATTTGGAGTACTTCATGTCGGCTCGAGTTCTAAATTATCGTCAAGCTCGATGGAATATGTTAATATCCAAGTTTGACTTTGTTATTACTTATTGACTTGGGAAGCAACAAGGACTATCTGATGTATTATCAAGGAGATTGTATCTAGCGCCAAAGGCTAGAGAAGCAACGTTTGATCAATAGTGTACAATATTGTTAAAGTTGGAATAATTCATGCTTTGCTCTGCTATAGTGCCAATCAATACTAACTTCCTCAACCAAGTATGTATTGTGACTATTGGAGATTTTATAGCCCTCGATATCACGTAACGTATCAATAATAAAAAATTCAAGGTAGGAGGAGATCTTTTATACTTTGAGGAGCGGTTTTATATTCCAAAGAGACCAACACAACTCCAAGTTCTCCAATCTCGACACAACTTTCCAACTGTAAGACATTTTGGATTCAATAAGACCTTGGAACTTATTTCTCGAGATTTTTGGTGGTCCCAAATGTAGAAGGATGTCAAGAATTTTGTCCTCTCCTGTGATATTTGTTCAAGATCCAAGAACCCTTGACATCGTCCTTATAGTCTTCTTCAACCATTGTTTATTCCACATCTGCTATGGTCTTCAGTTTCCATGGACTTCATTACAGACCTGCTGCCATCGAATTTATTTGATAGTATCTTTAATGTAGTAGATCGGCTTACAAAGATGACACACTTTGTCCCTTGTAAGAAAACATCGTCAAGCAAAGACACAGCAAGGCTCTTCCTTGATAGTTTGTATCAATATCATGGTTTACTAGATGATATCATGTCGAATCGAGGAACCCAATTTGAAACAAAGTTCTGGAGATCTCTCTTTGAGATATTGAAAGTGGATATCAAGGTTTTATGGTTTTTCATCCTCAAACTGACGGCCAAATAGAACGTGTGAATTAAATTTTGGAGTAGTATTTACGATGCAGCATCAACTATCAGCAAGATGATTGGATTGCATATCTATTATTAGCTAAGTTTGCATATAATAACACCCTTCATGGTTCGACTCAATAAACACTATTCTTTTCCAACTATGGGTATCATCCGAAGCTTGATTTGTTGAATCTGTCAGTCAATAACAACCTAGCAACTGAAGGATTTGTGAAACAACTATTGGAGCTTCAAACTACGTTGAAGCTTCAATTATAAACTGCCCAAGAAGCTTACAAGGCATCCACAAATAAATTTCAGAATCATGCACCTACTTTCAAAATTTGAGATAAAATATGATTGCTTCGATGGAATATCAAAACTAAGTAGCCATGTGATAAGTTGGACTACCAGAGATTGTGACCATTTATCATCTAGAAGCAAATCAATCCAAAGGCATACTGTCTGGGGATACCAGCTGCTATGAAGGTACACCCAGTCTTTCATGTTTCTTTGTTGGAGCCTTTTTGAGAGTTGTCTTTTCCTAGAAGAGTACAATGTCCGCTACCTAGTATTGAAATTGAGAACCACGAGGAATACGAGGTAGAAAAGGTATTAGATTTACGACGTAAGTGGGAGAAATTAGAGTACCTAGTGTATTGGAGCAACTATGATATCAATGAGCACACATGAGAACTAGTGGAAAATCTTATCAATGCGTCACAAAAAAGTATAGGAATTTTATTGATACTATCCTCAAAAACCTAAGCCGTTTTGTTGAAAGCTTTTTAATGAAGTCCCTTCTCCTTGAAGCCTCTTAATCCTCAACCTTACAAAGAAGGGAGAGAAGGAACCTCTAAAAGATATAGTTAGAGATTATAAATCTATAACCTGAGCTCATTCTTCCATGTTTGGTGCTTGTATTTTTTGGTGTGATATGGATAGCCAAGAGATAGATACCGTACCAATTATGTCTTCTCAACCAAGTATTTCACAAAGACAACCCCGAGATGAAGAACCGCATATACCACAAAGATGATGGAGGATACCTAGTAATATGTCACTAATGATTGTGTTTGAGGTAGAACCTGCCTACGATGATCTTTCCGAAGGAGTGTTTACATAGCATTTTTACAATGAAAACACGGAAGTTCATGCTTCATCAGAAATCGAAGGTGTAGGACACTATCGTTGGTTACAAGGACCAATGAACTACTTGCCACACGAACAACAATTGGAGTATATTGTAGATACTATGCAACAAATTTTCAACTTCTTACGTTAGTATTGATCGGCAATAGGAGTGCTTCTCGAAGACCTCGAAGCTAAAGGGGGGAGGTGATATCAAGGATATACACTAGGAAGTTATAGAAGATTTTAGAAGGTTCTACAGAAGTTTTGTAGTTTGTAGAAGCTACTTGAGAAGTTTTCAAGCTCGTGGAAGCTGCTTGAGAAGCTTCATAGCTTGTATAAGTTGCTTGAGAAGCTTCTTAACTTGTAGAAGCTACTTGAGAAGCTTCCTAGCTTGTAGTATATATAGGAGCCGAGACTGAGGGGATCCTCAGTCTTGACAATATACCTCTTGGAGCTCTAGCTCACCTCTCTACTGTTGTGCTTGTACTCATCTCATTAATCGAGTTCTTGCCGATTTTTCTTAAGCTTCTTGTTTAAATTTCCAGTCACTATTCTAAATTCGTGATAAAATCCTAGTTTTTAATAATAACTTCTAACAACTCTCTCTCCTTCATTTTCATAATCTAGAACAATTTAAAATGTATTAATGTCTTCATATAAAATACAGCAGTTTAAGTAAGCTTTTTAACCTCACTTTCCAAATCTTCAAAGCTTTTCTACAATTTTCTATATACTTAAAAGAGTAATAGTAGGTACCAAAAACACACCCTAACTTCAAACAACCATAATTCTCTCATTACAACTCTAAATTATATATCTTTTTTATCCAAATTCTAGTCCAAAATACAAGCTTTTGAAATGTAGCCTCTATACTTCAAATAGATCGTCTTCCCTCAAATGGATCGCCCTAAAATGGTCCCAAACTCTAGTATAATCATAGTTAACATCTTGAAGCTCATTGGGCATGTCTTCCAATCAATAGAAATAAGGTCCTTTGTCACTTATCTTATCTACCCAAGTTAGATGGTCTAGGAGTCAAAATACTATACCTTTGACTCCAAAGCTCCTCTAAAATTCTTATTAATAAAGTCTTCAACTTCTATCTTTAATTACTAAACTTAAACTATAAACTTAAATAAATTAGATAAATATTTTATTTTATTTTTTAAATTACAATCCAAACTGTCATAATATTTTACCTAATTTTTACATATTATTCTACTTTCCAGGATGACAACATATAAAAAACACATGTGTAATTTCTTCAAGGAAATTATAAGGAAAAAATTGATTAATGAGAAATTAATGAAAAGAAAGGACATTTTAAGAAGCAAAGTGAAAGGCATGCACAAAGGCTGACATGCACCAAGCTTGAAGAGAGAGAGAGAGAGAGAAGGGGTACTAACTAACTAACTATGGTTGAATGGAATGCACCAAGCCTGAAGAGAGAGAGAAGGGGTACTAACTTAACTAACTAACTATGGTTGAATGGAATGCACCAAGCCTGAAGAGAGAGAGAAGGGGTACTAACTTAACTAACTAACTATGGTTGAATGGAAGGAAGGGAAGGCTTCCTCTTCCTCTCCACAACAATCTGGTCACACCACACCATAACATTCCTCCACCTCCAGGGCTGGCTGGCTTTAGTCAGGGTGGTGGTTGGCTCCAACACACCATGGAAAAGGAAGTCTAGTCTAGTCATGCCCTCTGCATCTGCAGTTTTGGATGACCAGGTGCGCGATGCGTTGCGTTTGCACCGCCTTGACCTATTATTATGATCCTTGCCCCTGGCTTGCGTCCATTGTTGTCCCGCCCTTGCTGACTGTTTGTTAGTTTGCCTTGTTTATGTTTGCTGACTGAGGGATAGGGCAGCTCCATCATCTTGTGTCCACTGACTTGGAATTGCCCTGCCCTGAGCAGCCCAGCCCAGCCCCGGCAGTTGGCCTCTCTTCCTCCCTCTCCATTCCCCCTCCATCCCTTCCGTCCCATTCCTCCTCATTCACACAACCTCATCCCCTTCTCTCCTCCTGCGCCCTATTCCTATTCCCATTTCCATTTGTGCTCTTCTGCGGCATTGGCACGCGCGTCTCCCTAGATTCTTCCTTCTTTCTGCTTCCGTAGGTTGAATTGGATTGTCTGGAGATGGCTATGTCTCTGGGGTTTTCACTGTCCACCTCTATCGCCCTCAGTACTCCGACTTCTCTTCAAGCTACATCTTCAAAGCCCTCCTATGTCACCACTCCCTCCTGTGCACACATTGCTGGATTCTCCAGCAGCTTTCAGGGATTGAGATTGGCTTCGAATTCGAATAGGAAAGCAAGCATGAACGCTGCAGCACCGTCTGTCTCTTGCGCAGCTTCCAATGTAAGCATTTATCGAGTTGCGTAACTATCTGTGTTGTGTCAGGTTATGTTGTCCATTGTAGCGTTTATTTGTTCGTGCACTTTCTGACTGATAGGATGCTAGAGGCGTGGGAATGCAAATTAGGTGTAGATTAGTAGCGGCAGTTTAGGAGCGCTTGCATCTTCCCAATGCCCCATGGATACGTTAGCCTCTTCTGGTCTTTTGTGTAGGTCCTTGATGAAACACTGCCATCTCTTGTGTTTAGGAAGCAAACAGTAGAGGATTACTGTGTGCTGACGAGAAAGCCGCCAATCGTTCCTAGCGAGATATTAAGGAATAATTAAAAATGTCACGGGAAGAAGGATCAAAAGTGGCGGCGTGTAATCGGAAGATTCGTTAGTCTTTAAAATTTAAGCCCTACTGAGTCTGGAAAATGCTGTAGCCTGTACTGTGATTGGAGGCTTTTATTTGTTGAGCTTGATAGGGCAAGAACGATGAAATTGTGTTAGATGTCTTTAAATTCGTTCTAGTCTAGAGAGCGACGCACTCTGTGTAACTCTAAGTGCGGCCTTGTAGGCATTGAGAAATACGTTGCTCTACGCAAGTCGAATTTGGAGCTTTGGTTTTCTACTGGAAAACTTTCAATTTTGGTTTAACCACTCTTAGCCGTAAACTGAGAACCTTCGCCGCACCGTTCTAATTTTGGGTATTTCAATCACACTTTCTTTTTTTCATTTTTTCTTTTTTGTCGCAAGATAGATATGATTTTTGATCTTCTCTTTTCTTTTTTTTCTTTTCTTTTCAAATTTTTTGGTTCATAGAATGATAACACCGACGCCACAAAGTCCGAGCCGGTGATTTTGGAGTTCCAGCCCTCGAGCAACATGCCAGTGATGCCGCCAGAATGGAAGGAGAGAGAAGAGAAAAGAAAAGCTGAGGAGGCAATGCGAAACACTCAGGGTATTACCATCAGGCGCCGACCCGCAACAGGCCCGCCTATTCACAACGTCGGTCCTTTCCAATTCAAGATTCAGAGCGAAGGCAACACCCCTCGCAACATCTTGGAGGAAATCGTCTGGCACAAGGATGTGGAAGTTGCTCAGGTATCATACCAATTCCTTTCGTGTATTGATTGTTTGGGCTATCTGAGGAAGCGCGCATGTGGTAATGCCATTGACATGATCTGACATTTTATGTGTTGTTGTTGGCTGTTTACTTCTGTTTTATGAAGAAGTCTTTACTTAATTTGAAACACTGTTGCTTCATCGTGACTTCTGCTCGGTGAGGTTTTCCCCGCTTGCTGAATTTGTGTACACCATGCCAAGCATATCTTGAGATCTTGAGATGTTCGCTTTTGCAGATGAAGGAGAAGACCCCGCTTGGAGCTTTGTCGAAGTTAATGGCAGGAGTAGGGCCTACAAGGGACTTTGTGGGAGCGCTTAGAGCGAGGGCGGCAGAGACTGGGTACCCAGCATTGATTGCTGAAGTGAAGAAAGCGTCACCAAGTCGCGGTGTTATCCAGCCTAACTTTGATCCAGTAATCCTCTGCCTTGTGGAAGTCGTTTCCTGGAATACAGTTATTAAAAGTTTGCACGCGCATTATCGATGTAAGATTGGGAATGCAGTAATATATGGAACTAGGAAGGAGTCTCGCATTGGAGTGACACTGACTTTGTTGTTGAATCGTTTCATGAGTGAAAAGTCTTTGTCTGCAGTTCGTTTCGTGGTGTTTCTTACTCTGAGTAAAGATGGCCTTTTTGGCCACATCATGCCTTGTGAAGGGATTTTCTGATCTTGCCGTACTCTATGCAGGTACGAATTGCGCAAGGGTATGAAAAGGGTGGAGCTACTTGTTTGAGTGTATTGACGGATTCCAAATATTTCCAAGGAGGATTTGAGAACTTGAGACTAATCAGGAATGCTGGGGTCCAAGTACGTTAGTCCCGAAATCCAGTTGACCCCTCGTAGAATGGCGCTTAAAATAATATTCTGTACATGGGGGTTGTTTTAGCTGTTCTCTGTTTGATCGCAATTTTAATCTGCCTTAACTTCATTGTGTATGCCTTGCTTGGTTGAGGGGCGGTCGTATCAACTTTTGGAACTTATGTTCTTCTGTTGACACTGATAAGTTCTTTTGTTGGAATTTCTAGTGCCCGCTTTTGTGCAAAGAATTCATCATTGATGCGTGGCAAATCTACAAGGCCCGTGTTAGCGGTGCAGATGCTGTCCTCTTAATAGCAGCAGTGCTGCCTGATCAGGATCTTGCTTACATGACCAAAATCGCGAAGGCCCTGGGCATGGCTGCTCTCATCGAGGTTTTTATGCCCTACTAATTATGTTATTTAGAGATGAATTTGTATGGTCAAGAATCTTTGAATCTTAACTTGTAAATATGTAGTTTTAGAGAGAACGATGGACTATGAGGGATGTTCAATGCTACTATGAAGCTTGTAATTACTAACAACAATCGTTCAAGCCAGTGGTACTTATAAAGTTGTGAAGTGGAGGTGTTGCAGCTCATGTTTAAATTGTTTCAGTATTAGTAGCTTGGGCATGTGGTGTGGTATTTTGGTGAGGACATATGCTCATGCTTGAGTAACAATTGTTGTGACTGAGTTTCAGGTACACAGTGAGCGCGAGATGAAACGTGTTTTGGGTTTGCCTAATGTGGAGCTTATTGGCATCAATAATCGCAGTTTGGGTATTTTTCCTACGTCCCACCTGTTGCATTCATATTGTCTAATGAATCAACCTGGTCTTCTGTATGCTATTCCTATAAGAGTGCTGCTTGCGTCACATGCTTGATTTAAACGTAGCGTTGTATCATCATCTGGCTGCTGTGTACATGGTGTATATGATGTTTTCTGATGGGCTGTTCAATTATGTTTTCGAAGCGTGAGTTTTGCACCTACTATATTGTCATGATGACTCGCTGGTGAAGATGGCTATAGGAAGATAGTTGCAGGTGACTTCAGGAGTTGTGTATATAGCAGTAAATCGTAAAGTTTGTCGATTGTGTCTAAAGAGTGGTTTGTGTTCTGCAGAAACTTTTAAGGTGGACATCAATAATACAGTAGAGCTCTTGAAAGGAGATATTGGAACTCAGATTCGTGAAAGAAATATCATTGTAAGGCTCCATTGACAGTTCCTTGATCGCTGTGTTGGAAATTGTTTGCAATGCTGAAAGTAGTGTGTGGTATGTACCAACTTCATTCTCAAAAAGAAAAGAAACACAGCAGTTGTAACTACTTAAGCACTCTCAATCTTTTGCTTGTATGTAAATGCCAGCATATGCTAATTCAATGTAGCATGTCCTGAAATTTTATTTTATTTTCAGAAAACTTCTGTTCCTTTTAGTTTTTGGGAATTGCGATTTGTGATATCCAGGTAGTTGGAGAATCAGGATTGTTTACACCAGAGGATATTGCTTTGGTTCGTAACGCAGGCGTTGGTGCGGTATGCTTCATAGTTGCATTTCTTAATGTCAATGACCATTCTGATTTACTGTCGAGTAATTTAACCATTTGTCTTCCTGTTTATCTTTTATCCACAAATGAATTCTGTTCCCAGAATATTACGGAGTGCTCTGTATGAATGCTCTGTATGAAATCTGTTCACAATATTATGTTGTCTAGGTATTTAGCGTCACTACACAGGAGTAGGATAGGTGTTCAGTGATTAGATTCTAGATGAATGGATGCAAGGTGATTGCGTGAGTAATCGCTTTTATCGAAACAGTGTGAGCAACACTAAATAGACTTATGGTTAGTATTCTGACTGGATTTTGGGGACGCAGGTTCTTGTGGGGGAGTCTTTGGTGAAGCAAGACGATCCTGGTGCAGGCATTGCTAAGCTGTTTGGGGAGGACATATCCAGGAAACAGACTTCTGTGGCTTAGTCCGAACTAAACCTTACTGTGAGTAGAACATAAGTAGAATGATTTAGGTTCCTGAATTTTTGTCTTTGCTGAGATCAGTCCTGCAAAAACTGGGACATGTTATCTTCTATTTAGTTATTTTATTTTTTTACCATGTGGTCTTGCAACCAAGAGTTGTTAATGAGGTGAGTAGCACTTTTTGGTGAAAACTCAAGCCAAGACGCTCTGTTCGTGCTTTGTACTTGTACATTTGTTTTTGATATAATCGAACTCTTTCCAATGATACAATCCTAGGTGAGCAACATATCAGTTGAATCATTCACTCGATCTTCTCTTGTAGGTTAACTGGTACTTGAAACTACCCGCGGCAATTTTTTCTCGATTCTATTAACTTGAAAGTTCGCATGACTCTTGCATTGCGAACCAAGATTTTAAGCTCACTTCTTGTAGGTAAAAACATTTCAGATATATATATATATATATATATATATATACACGAGCATGGGAGGCCCGCAAGGAAATTTCTGATTTAGTCACTAATGGTAGATACAAAAAGAGTGGCATTACGAGGCAGACTAGGCCCTGAATGATGCGCCTTGTCTACAACTAGCGGAAACCAGTGCAGTTAGGCACTGAAAAGCTGGAGGCCTTTCTGCAGGTTATGCAGGGCTTTCTGCTGGTTAACGATCTTTTTGGTTTCGGCAAATGAGAAGGTTTCTTTGTCTCTTTGTCTTATACCTACGCTTCCATATTACATACATACAATCGAGAATTAGAAGCACATGTCAGGACAAAACGTCACACAATCCACGAACCGTCTAATTTTACCTGATTGACGATGTCTTTCTCATGGCTGTGAAGCTCATCAGGGGCATGGCGCGTCTCGGTGCGTATTGTTTTCATCGGGAATGCCTAATTCCGCGGCTTTTTCAGCACACAAACTGAATGAAGAAAGTGATGAAGTTCTAGTGCAACGCACGAAACGGTCTTTTAAGATTATTATTTTTTTGCAAGAATTAGCACACAAATTAGCACACAAATTAGCACACAAATTTAAGGATCAGATTTACCACTTGAGTTACCAATAAAATTTCTTGTTTCTTCTCAATCAAAGTCTCAAAAACATTCTGCTCAAGCATATTGTTTGTTCCAACATCATTGCATCAATGCCCAGATATGGATTTTGCTCCTGTAATACAATTTAAAAGTAAAACTTTAATTAAAAAGTAAGATAATCCTCACTTGAACTCCAAACTGAAGGAGCTACCAAAGATTTTCAAACATACGAAAAATGAAAGCAGAAAGTAATTAGCTTTCAAAAGAATGCCGGATGATTATCCTGTTTACTTATTTGTTCAACTAAATTGATATGATCAAAAAATGTCTATATCTTTACCTTTACTTGCTGAGCTTTAACAACAGTTAATGTATTAATTGGCTGCATGCCACCATTCCCTGCCAGAGCCATTGGAACCATATTCAGTGCATCTGCAAATGCTTGTATAGATAAAGACAACAACATAATGTAATTTCAGGGACTTGCAAATAATTATGTGGAACAACAAACTATCAAATAAATGTGCAAAATAGTTTCAATGACATGGACATGGACATATAGAGTAAAATCCATTGAAAGAGATAACTATGACCCATATCAATGAGGAAAGAACTATACTTGCTCAACACCAGATATCTTGTTAGGAGCAGCCTCCATAGTTAAAGAACATGAAATTTCAGCAGCACCACTGCCATATACAATTGCCTTGTTCCAAGTCTAGTTACAAATCACATACAAAGCATCATAGAAGCTCCATTTGGTTTCTCTGACCATCATCTTGTTCCCCATTCAGCAACCCTCAAGTTCAAGTTTTACACACAGAGCAGTCAATTTATTTTAAATGTGACTAGACCTTGATATCTTATTTATAACCATTTTTTGAAGGATGTGACAATTGCAATATCATATCCATTGTTGTGTAGAGCAGTCAATTTATTTTAAATGTGACTAGACCTTGATATCTTATTTATAACCATTTTTTGAAGGATGTGACAATTGCAATATCATATCCATTGTTGTATAGTAACATGGCAATAAGGTGAGAGAAAAAAAAATGTTATAAAAGAGTTAAATAGAAAGATATAATAGAAAAAACAAGGATAATTAATAAGAAGGTAGTAAAAACTTTAGTCTTAATGCTATTTTTTTATAGACTTTTTATAAACTTCTATTTACTTTGCAGGGGCATAAATGAACCAAATCAAAGTAAATAAGATAAGTAATTGATATAGGCATGTTTATAAAAATATTCAAAATAGCTTTTAGCAAAAATTACTTCAAAATATAAAGAATTGATACCCAAAGAGAACCAATTATGAATCAAGATTGAAATCATACCTTGAAATATTAAACTATGCACCTATGGCATCACTAGGATTCTTTGGTTGATTAGAGAGTAGGATTTGGGAGTAAACTTGTGAAAGAGTTCTAAAAGTTGATTTCATGTGATTTAAAGGTATATTGAGGTTTTAAGAGCTTTTTAAAGTAAAAGGTGTATATAGTACATTTAGATTTTAAGAAATAAATAGAGGCTTATAAATTTGATGATTTTGTGAGTATTGTAGTATATTTGTAAGTGAAAACATGTGAGTTTGTTACTATGCTTATTATTAATGTACAAGAAAATTTTTATATCAATTGAATAGTTAGATTGGACATTATCAAAGTTTTTGTGGATTATGGTCTCAGATAATTGAAATTTAGGATCAATAAATATTTTTGCAATCTTGTAATATTTATTGCTTTGATTGAAATAAAAATTGGTGAAATTAATTAAGACATAAATATGTACTTATTAATTAAAATTTGAATTAATTAAATAATCTAGCAAGGAAAAATCTTTGTTAAAAGATCAATATTCAAGTTAGATGTTGGTGACCAACATCTAAAAGGTTTTGGAATCTTTTCTTTTAATTGGTAAATTTTATTCTTTTCAAATTTTGTGTGATTGTAAATTGCTTATAGAATAAAATCCAAGTAAAATTTTAGTCAAAATAAATGGTTTAATTAATATTTATTGAGGTTTCAAAATAATTATTATAATTGAATAAGATTTAGATAAGATTTGATTAGGATTGATTTAGGATTTTATTATGGTTTTATCTAGGAATTAATTAGGATTTAGGATTTGATTAAAGATAGATTAAGATTGATTTAAGGCTTTATTAGGATTTTATTAGAATTTAGTCTAGGATTTAATTAAGATATAGAATTTTTTTAGATCTAAGTTAAAGTTGGTTTATGACTTCATTAAGATTTGGTTAGGATTTCAATAGGATTTCAATAGGATTTCAATAGAATTTATTAAGATTTGATTTAGGATTTGTTTGGAATTTCCTAAAAATTTATTTAAAATTGATGTAGGATTTTATTAGGATTTTTTGGAGTAACATTAAGATTTAATTAGAATTTAATTAGAATTTTTATTTTAAAGTTTTTTTAAAGATTTTTTTAAATATTTGTCTTAAATCAAGTAAATTTTTATTAAGGTGTCTTATATGGAGCTTATCCAATTGTAAAGACTATAATTAGAGATATAAGAAATAAAAAAAAATTCTTTGTGCAAAACTTAGCTACATATCTAGTAATATTTGGTTAATCCTATATTATAGCTGCTAAAATGGAGACTAGAGTCTTGGATGATGGTTTATATTATGGCAAGATTTGTAGTTGGAATTGAAGAAAAGCTATGCAATTTATTACTAGGGAATCTATCCATAAGATGTACAAAAAAAAAATTAAAAGGGATATCTTTGGAGTCAAAAAAATAACTTTGTGGATTTTTAAAAAGCACCTTGTAGAATAGAGATACTTAGATGCAAATAAATCATGTATAAATTTTAACATAGATAATATGAGTTTTTAATTTTTTAACTTGATTAATAATAGATTTGTGAATACTCAAAAGATTAAAGATTTAGATTCTATAAATATAAGAAGAATAAAGAAACCAAAAAAAAAAACTTAAAAAGAGTAGATTTAATTTCAATTGATGAAGCTACAGTTGGAATAATAGAAGAAGTAGGTTTAGAGGATGATTTGATAAAAAAAATTGAAGAATTTAGCTATAAGCATAGATGGAGATGCAATAATAGAAATACACTTAAGAAGGACATATGAGGAGTTAAAAGAGATAGTGGAAAATAGTGGATTTGCTACAAGTTATGGATTGAAACATGAAGCCAGAGTTCAAACTAAATATAAAATTGTAGTAAGAAAGATAAAACTTATAGCTATCCAATTACCAATTGATACTATAGAATATATCAAGCAAATAGTTAAAGAACCAAATTTGAAAAAGAAGTACAAAATTAGATATTAATTTATTTAAAAATCATTATTTAAATTGAAGATTGGAGGGATAATTTTTCAACATCAATAGAAGAAAATATATTTTAAAAAATGATTATTGAATATGGTATGGTATTTGCCTTAACTCCTTATAAGATTGAATGTATGAATCTTAGTATTATAGTATCTATAGTAATCTTTACAGTGTCACATATTCCATTGAATTTAATGCTTGTACTTGTAATTAGAACTTTTCTTCTAAAATTAATAGAATTATTAAAAAAAATTAGTGAAGATGGATATTTTAGAACCTTTAATTGCTTCTTATTCTAATAGATGATTCAAAATAACTAAGAAACGAAGAATATTAAGATTTATTTAGGATATGCAATCAACAAATAAAGTGACTATTTAAAATATGGAGTTAAGTTTTGTAATAGATGAAGGGGCAGAGCAATTTACAGGTCATGCCATTTATTCTAATAAAAACTTGTATTTTGGATATGATCAATTTCAATTGGCTAAAGAGAATAGAGATTTAACCATTATGAAGACTCTTTTAGGTTTAATGAGGATGTGTACCTTACCTTAAGGTATAACCAATTCAATTGCTTATATGCAAAATACTATGAACCAAATATTAAAAGAATTTATTCCTAAAAAAATCATTCTATTTTTGAATGACATACATATAAAAAAATATGAAAGAAAACAAGAATAAGACTATGGAAGTTGAAAGTTGCAAAAACTTTATTAAGATGCATATTAAAGATTCAGTTAATATATTATAGAAATTATAATTAGTTAATTTGACATTATCTTTGAAAAAATCAAACTATAGAATTAACGAGATTCTAGTGGTGGAACTTATATGTGGCAGATATGACAGGAAACCAAATCTTGATGAAGTTGATGCTATATCTAAAATAAAGGCTTGTAA